TCTCGACAAAGATCAAATGGAATCCTCCGTTCATCAGTTCCTGAATGAGCGTGGGCCTCCACGCAAGATCCGTCCACAGGGGTGCAACATTCTCCAAACGCAAATACTGCACTCCAATCTTCTTTGCACGTGTTACTGAAGTTCTGAAAAGGTCCAAAGTCTCATAACACCAACCACGTTTCATACCTGCCGCGCTGAAGGTCACGCATGGATACTCAGGTGGTTGCGTTAACCTGCAAAATGGAAGCGGCCATCCAAGGTTCCTTTTGCAAAACATTCGCCACAAGAATGCACGGTGAGCGCAGGTCCTGTACCGTGATAGTGTCCTCGGTGAGCTTGGAGCCGTGCGTTAGCGAATACTTTGCTGCATCTCTGCATGTGTCCAAGGCTAAAGGGCACAACATTTCATATCCATGAGATCTCAGAAAACGCAAGGCATGCGACCATCCTCCAAAACCTCCTGCACACAGGGAAAATACCTTGAGATCATCTCCACACTTCGACCCAAAATGGCCGATTCCATTGTGATCCACAAGATGTTGCCGTCGCGTTCGTTTCTCTGCATTTTGTGGTTTCCAAGCAATGACGTGTTCAGTTGATTCGAAAAACCTTGCTTGGCCACTCCACAGTGCAAATCCAACGAAAAAGGTATCATGATACATGAAACCACCCGAACTGTTAGTTCTCTGTGCCCGTAGGTCTCCCAGAAGTCGGCTATGAGTCCTCCTGCCGGAAATTCATCCAATCGGCAGAGGGGGCCGACATCACCGTTCCTGGTTCCATGCGGTTGTGGTGCTCAGAATGCTGGTGTTGCATGGTTGCAAGTGTTCACACGCCGGCTGTTCACAAGTCAGTGCTCTGTCTGCTCCATGCCATGCCATGGTCCTATACTCGCCGCGGAGAGGCAAGAGCCCTGAGCCCGCTATTCCCTTCGCCGGCATACACCTCGAAGCAAGCCTCGGACCTCGTGGTGCGCCAGGTGCCATGTACGGGCATCTTCCTCGGACCAAGCAAGTCGGGCAAGACTGTGGCGTTGATCAGCCTGATTCTGGAGCAATGCCGGGGCGTCTTTGAGCGAATCTACGTGTTCAGCCCCAGCGTCAACATTGAGCCTGCCTGCGTCGTCACACCTGAGTGGGTCAATACTCAAGGGGAGGAGAGGTTGTGGATCTGAGGCGCTCTGTGGATTTTGAGTCAAACGGCCGTTTGACTAGGAAAACGCGATTTGGGCGCTGGATCCGTGGATTTTCAATCAAACAGCCGTTTGCCTAGAAAAACGCGATTTGGGCGCTGCACCTGTGGATTTTGAATCAAACGGCCGTTTGCCTAGAAAAACGCGATTTGGGCGCTGGATCCGTGGATGTTGAATCAAACGGCCGTTTGACTAGGAAAACGCGATTTGGGCGCTGGATCTGTGGATTTTGAATCAAACGGCCGTTTGACTAGAAAAACGCGATTTGGGCGCTGGATCTTTGGATTTTGAGTCAAACGGCCGTTTGACTAGGAAAAGCCGAATCTTTGGATTTTGAGTCAAACGGCCGTTTGACTGGGAAAAGCCGATTTGGGCGCTTGATTTTTGGAATTTGAATCAGACGGCCGTTTGACTAAGAAAAGCCAATTTGGGCGCCGGTTGAAATTAGTTGGTGCCTTGGGCGCATGACTGCCTAGCTTAGTTGGCTGAGCATCTTCTTTGAAGCGCTGCACGGTGCGGCGCGATTGCCGCCTCCGTCAGTATATTGTACTTGTTTGTTCTTTCTTGTAGTGCTCAGTAAAGACAACAGAGAAACTTCATCATGCGTGCTGCTGACTGTCGATCTTTGGGCGCTGGCTCTTTGGGATTTTGAGTCAAACGGCCGTTTGACTAGGACAAGCCGATTTGGGAACTGGATCCTTGGATTTTGAGGATTTTGAGTCAAACGCGCTGGGTCTTTGGTTTTGAGTCAAATGAATCAAGCACTCAATATGTGTGAGAGAAAAACCTGAATAGACAGATCTGTGTTTGAAAACTCAATATTAGTGAGAGAAAAACCTGAATAGACAGATCTAATTGAAAAACTCAATATGGGTGAGAGAAAAACCTGAATAGACAGATCTGTAAGAGAAAACCTGAATAGACGTGCTGTCGGGATGGACAAATTAAAAATCGTCAGTGTTTATATGTTGTCTGGTCGCTGTTCCACAGTATCTGTCATTGGTACCACTCCTCCTGTAGGGCGCGGGAATCAAAAGGACCGCCCGAGGAGGGGTTGTAACCACGACTGGCAATCGCTGTTCCACAGTATCTGTCATTGTTACCACTCCTCCTGCAGGGGGAAGCTGAAATAAAGAACAAGAAATGTTCAAACAAACGGCAGGACGAGCTTCCGAATCAAGTTGACCCTGTGTTCCCTTCACCAATCCTCCGAAAGCCAACCGTTTCTTCTGGGATGCGTGGCCCAGGCAGTCGCAGAAGCATTCGAACCGGCGGTGCCGTGTTGTTCTTTTTAAACGCGCCTCGAAGACGTGGAACTGACACAGGCTACCAACTGTCAGCTCCTGGCAACACACAATTCCACGCCGCATGACTTTTTGAGCCATTCAAGAGAAGGGGAACACGAGTTCCCCCATTGAATCGAAGAGGACCGCCCTGAACAATAGACGTGTGAGGCGTGAGGGGTCAAGTTTCACATGGAGGGCAAACTCCAGGCAGTGAATTCAAAGGGCCACACCAGGCCCTTCGGTTCATTGGGCTTTCCTCGAAAAAAGGCCGCCCTGCAGGTCGCTCATGCTGACCTCAGGACGAAAAAAGTCCGGAGAGGACTGTGGGAGGTTTGGAAACGTTTGGAAACTTTGGGGACTGGGCTTTGTCTAGCAGAGAAAGAAAGCGTGCCTGACAGGCCCCCCGGGCCGATCGTGCCGAGCTGCATAGATGTGGCCCTGGCGTGCGCAAGCGATTGGTAAGGCTTCAACTACTTGGTCCGGGTGTTTCACTAAGTGGGTATTGCAACTAATTGACCACAAACTAAGGCAACTTGCAAGGTGTTGATTTTCTCTATTTGGTGAGCAACGGGCAACACTACTTGCACCCCCCCCCCCCCCAATTGTCCAGGACCATGTAGGCTTCTTTTTGGTCTCCCTTTGACAATGGCACCCATTTTGAGTCTTGAGATTTTCACACGTCCATTGCTTGGTAAACCTGCCTCCCAAGATCTTGCCTTAAATCTACATTGAAGAATGCATAGACCCAAAAAACAAGAACACTACAAATCGTACTGTCAGTATCATACTCTCAGTGCGGTCCGGTACCTCACATCTTACTTTCACTAGCTGCACGCTCAGCCGCTCAAGGGCCTACAACATGAGTCGAGCTGCTTTTTGTCGGAAAAACGCACTCGCCAGATCAAAGAAACAACACACACAACTCATTGGGCTCCTGAAGCTCGTGAGCCACGCATGTAAAACAATGTGGCGTGCCTGCGTGCGGGTGTGCCGCGCGCGCGGGCGCGCGGGCGGGCAGGCGGGCACGTATGTCTTCAGAGAGGGGCAAGGCCGTGTATGAACGGATTTGATTTGCCGATAACCTGGCACAATCAAACAAAGTGGGGCGCGCCTGCATGGCAATCCGCCGACATGGTTCACGTGTCGGATACCCAAGAGAGGATAGAAGATAACCCCCCCCTTTTCTCCCCCCGGGACTTGTCAATTATCTGCGTTTGAGGGTCCCCCCCCGCACGTACTGAGCGGCAATCTTACGTTCCACTAAAAATAGTCTTCCGGGCAGCGTGGGAAAAAAAGTGTCTCAGGCTCGAAATCCCCCTGCCGGCTCTCTGCCGGCTCAGGCCTTCCGACTTCCTCCTCCTCTCGCCGCAAGCAGTGAAAAACAAGTGATTGCTGACCGCCTTTTGGCGAAAACGTTGAAAGCTACTCTGGTGTTAAGCGGACGAAACGGAAATTGGAAATGAATCGGAAATGAAGGGTCAATGAAGGGGACATGTGCAGAAATGCAGAACAGCGCAGGGGAGCACTGAAGGGGGACTGACGACGAAATTCGGGGGAAATGCCGGGGAAATGCAAGGGAAATGCAAGGAAAATAAAGGGGACTTGCAGGGGGGGAATGATGGTGAAGTGCAGGGAAATGCAAGAAAGGGACAGGAAGCGGAAATGACAGAAAATCAAGGGGACCTGCAAGGGAAACGAAGGGGAACTGAAAGGGAAATGAAGGGGAAAGGAACAAGAATAAAGGGGAAACGAAGGGAAATGAAAGACAGTGGGGAAATGAAAGACAGTGAAGGGGAAATGAACGAAAGCGAAAAGAGATGTAGGAGGGGCATGACTGGAAATGAGGGGAAATGCATGGGAAATGAAGGGAAGAATGGGACGGAGAAACTCAAAGGAAATGATAGGGGAGTGCAGGGACAATAAAGGGGACATGGAGGGGGAAATCAAACGAACAAGTGCATGGGAAATGCAGGGGACAGGAAGCGGAGGGTGCAATGTCGGCAGACCGAGCCGGAGGCTCTAAAGTTGAACGGATCCCGAAGCAAACAATTCTGGATGCGGAGTTCAGCCTGCCAGGGCCCTGGTTTGAACGCGCTTGGCAAACTAGAACTCATGTGGTTCAATGCCTTTTCACGCATACTGAGCGGACAATTTATAATTTACTACGGGTGTGAATCGGCTGCTCTTGTCTCAGCCGCGTTGCCGAAGCCACGTTGCCTACGTGGCCTGGTTGAAGGTATCTGAAGCGGTCAGACTGTCAGCTACAGAACTAATGCCATTGAATTCTTGAGAGAGACTAGTGGACATCCGCCGAAAACTGCTTCACCTTGGTCGAAGCTTCACGCGCTGAAAACGTGATGCTCAAGTAGGCGCCAAGGTCTTTAACATGAAAACAAACAAGGCCAAGGCGAAGCCACCTATCAGCTTAAATTTGCTGTCAAATCAAGCAAGCTCAGTGGCGCAGCCGGTCATTGATTGCAACACCTAGGTTTGTGTCACGATTAGGAACTGAATAAATGGTTGTCATCATTTGTTGCTGAGCACCACAGAGCTGGGAGTTGTTGAGGCACCAGGCGCGAGCAACATGCAAAGTGCAAAGGAACTCAGCGCGAAGAACACAGGGATAACATAAATTTCACTTGTTAAAGGTGGATACCCTAAACTGCTCAGGAGTGACGTTGGAGACTCTACCTCCGCCGAAATCTGGATCACCCCCTGTCACCGCTGCTTTTGCACCTGGCCGTTGTCTCTGTCAAATAACCCGGATAACCCCACGTCAGAACAGCTCCAAATTCCAGAATGGCAAGAACATCCGTGAAGTTGCTTGTATTTACTGGACATTCCTCGATGAAGAAGCACCATCTATTTCACAAACATCCGGAGGCGCATTCGCCAACATCTTCCAACCATGCTGCAAATACACTTCTTGGAGCCTGATTCTAAACAGCAACATTGGTATCTTCATGCCAGCAACTTGCTAAACATGTAAAGGCGCCTGTCCTGTTGTAGCACAATATGCGCACTCTACATCAAGTCACATGCTTCAGAATGCCCCTTTCCATGGCAAGCTGCGGATCGCAAGCCAAGCTCAGTCGGTGTTCCTAGAAAAGGCACAGGTTGAATTTTGCTGGGACGCCACAAGGGCAATGATTTAATCCTCCACTATCACACTAGCAAAAGGCAAGACGTGATCGTGCTTGTTCAACACAAGTGTGAACCTAATACAGGGTCTGCAAACAACAATGACCATGTTCAATACTATCTGCTACCCTCCACAAGCAATTCAGTGCGACCTTCAAGCGACCTGCTAGGACCGGTGCTGCACACATGTCAAGTGGTGCGTCTGATCCAGGCTCAATTTGTTAATCTTAACTCACATATGAAATTCCTGAGACAACTGCAAGCTATTCAAACAACAAGCACATGGAACTGACCAAATCTCTGGGCTTTCCCGGGCCTTAACTATTGTTTGCGTGGCGTCAAACCTCAAAGGTCCAGCCTTGGTGTGGATATAGGCGGCGATGTCCCAAACATGAGTGTCCTTGAGTGTGTAGTGGTTGGTGTCTGCGAGCATCTTCCCCATTTCGGCCACAGATTGGGCCTCTTGCCCCATTTCACTTGGGTACTGCATTATGCGCTGCGGAGTCGAGAAAAAGGGCACATGTGGGGTTTCAAAGGCCTGCTCAAGAATCTCCAAACGGATTCGAGGAACCAAAGCTTGGGCCAAGGGCCGGTGCATGAACGAGATTTCGGAAAATTGTCGCCCCCTTGTCCTGGGGTCCAAAGCTATGATGCCATGCACTTTGATGCCCGCGCAGCCCAGGCACTCTGCCACTGTCTGTGCCACGTTCAGGCCGAGAGAATGGCCTGCCAGCATGAGGGAGTCTCCAGTCTCCGCTGCCAAAATTTCCCGAATCAGTGATAGGAGGCCACCATGTTGCACAAACTTCTCCACCGTAGGTAGAGATGCAGCGGCAGCAGGCCAAACCCGGGCCAAGTGGCCGGCAATCCTCTCCAAGTCAAGATGTGTCCGCGCTCCTCCCTGAAGCAGGACAATTGCCGCACTGGCCGCCCAGTTGGTCTCTACTTCCTGCAGTGTCTCGACTTTCAAAGAAGGCAGGTTTGGCACCAGCTCAGCCTTGGGCAACGCTCGTGCGGTCTGCGCGAACTGCATCATTCCCTTCGTCTGAAGCAAACGGGGACGTCCCGGATACCAAAGATGACAGAACACATCAAGCGAAACCAAAGAAGCACGTCGTAGATTGCAAAATAAAGGGAACGCAGGCGGTGAAATCAATGAATTGAAAGTTGAAGAAAAGGCAAAGGCTGCTCTCCTGGCCAATTTGTTGTCCTGGATTCCGCGTAGCCTCTTCGGGCTCACCTGAGCCTCAACCCGCTGCCAAGTGGCAGTTCCATGGTGTTGCAAGACGCCCAGGACATGAGGCTGCATCATGCAAGGCATGCGAAGCTCCAAGACACTCATGCTATCGCCCGAATGTGGATGGTTCCAAGGGAGAGGGCCAGGCAACACCGTACACAAAGAACGGTCAGGCAATGAAGACATTTGACGCTTGGAAGCCCGGGCAGTTGCTACTTGGTTTCCAAAAGCAAGTGAAGTCCCTAGACTCCCTGCAGTGGAACACCTCGCCACAAGCTTCAGAGGACGAATTGGGGCCACACTGTCGCCATAGGGTCGCATCATGAAAGGCGCACGAAGCCCCAAGACACCCATGCCATCGCTCGAAAGTGGATGGTTCCAAGGGACGGCAGGGCCAGCCAACAACGCCGTACACAAAGCACAGTCAAGCAATGGAGACATGCCAGGTGCGCTGGCGCAATGCATGACAAATGACGAGAACACCCGCGAGCCAAACACCTGATGCAGAGATGTTTGACGCTTAGAAGCCGGGCCAGTTGCTACTTGGTTTCCAAAAGCAAGTGAAGTCCCTAGACTCCCTGCAGTCGAACACCTCGCCACAAGCTTCAGAGGACGAATTGGGGCCACACTGTCGCCATAGGGTCGCATCATGAAAGGCACGCGAAGCCCCAAGACACCCAAAAGTGCAAGCAATGGAGACATGCCAGGTGCGCTGGCGCAATGCATGACAAATGACAAGAACACCCGCGAGCCAAACGCCTGATGCTGAGATGTTTGACGCTTAGAGGCCGGGCCAGTTGCTACTTGGTTTCCAAAAGCAAGAGAAGTCCCTAGACTCATTGCAGTGGAACCCCTCACCACAAGCTTTAGAGGCCGAATTGAGGCCACACTGTCGCCATAGGGTCGCATCATGAAAGGCGCACGAAGCCCCAAGACACCCATGCCATCGCTCGAAAGTGGATGGTTCCAAGGGACGGCAGGGCCAGCCAACAACGCCGTACACAAAGCACAGTCAAGCAATGGAGACATGCCAGGTGCGCTGGCGCAATGCATGACAAATGACGAGAACACCCGCGAGCCAAACACCTGATGCAGAGATGTTTGACGCTCAGAAGCCGGGCCAGTTGCTACTTGGTTTCCAAAAGCAAGTGAAGTCCCTAGACTCCCTGCAGTGGAACACCTCGCCACAAGCTTCAGAGGACGAATTGGGGCCACACTGTCGCCATAGGGTCGCATCATGAAAGGCGCACGAAGCCCCAAGACACCCATGCCATCGCTCGAAAGTGGATGGTTCCAAGGGACGGCAGGGCCAGCCAACAACGCCGTACACAAAGCACAGTCAAGCAATGGAGACATGCTGGGTGCGCTGGCGCAATGCATGACAAATGTCGAGGACACCCGCGAGCCAAACACCTGATGCAGAGATGTTTGACGCTTAGAGGCCGGGCCAGTTGCTACTTGGTTTCCAAAAGCAAGTGAAGTCCCTAGACTCCCTGCAGTCGAACCCCTCACCACAAGCTTTAGAGGCCGAATTGAGGCCACACTGTTGCCATCGCCCAAAAGTGGATGGTTGCAAGGGACTGCAGGGCCGAACCGCAACTCCATGCACATAATCACGGGAGACGTGCTGAGCTCACGAATGCAATACCTAGCCAAACCGGAGAAAACCCGTGAGCCGAACACGGCAGATTTGGCTGAGTCATCTGAGATGCCAATTATAAATGTTACTCGGTGTCCAGGTGAGACTGCAGCCTTGCCTTTCCGGGGAAGCGTAGAGATCGGGAGCGCCATGTGCAAGCCAAGCTCAACACCACTGAAAGCTTTCTCTTCCTGCAGCGCCGCCACCTTAATTGGCTTCTCCTCCTCCCCCGCCGCACTGCCTCCGCCTCTGATAACGAATCGGGATTGAATTCTCGTGGTTGTCGTCACAGAATTCATGCCCAGTCTCGCAGAGAAAATCTGGCCAACAAGCCCGAGGTCCGCATACATGAGTTTGCTGTCCTGAAGGCACCAAAAACGCACATGCCTGAATGCCTCCCACCTGCTCGCACCCAACACACAAACACAAACACAAGCCACGAGCCGCAAACCGAAAACACAACCACAAACACACACAAAAAACACAAACACAAAACCACAACCACAATCCACAACCACAAACACACAAACGCACGCAAGCACACAAACACGCATAACACACACACACACAAACACAAACACAAACACGCACACTTGAACTCCCGAGGGAGGTTGCTTCTCTTCGAGTACAACTTGTCGGCTGGGTTAGTTCGAGTGGGTAATTTTCGAGTGGGTTCCCTCTAGAGTCGAAAACGTTACCAGTTCCAACATGAAGCACACACACAGCAAGAGAAACCAAGGGCCAAATGGACTTTGCAACGCAGATCAGCAGGTACACGGATTGGCGTCCCAATCCGCTTCACGGAGGTTCCACAGCCGTCTTCGTTGGCAGCAGGACTGTGGTCTCCCTACTGCCCCCTGCTGTAGGTCTGGAACTCGGCACACACACACGCCCCCGCAGGGGCTAACGCACTGATTTTCCGCAAGCTCGAAAGCAATTCAGGAGCCAAAATAGCCTGGGCGTCCTGGTGATCTGGAACGAACTCTAGATGCCAGGATGTCCTCAAGAGTCGGGGCCCCGCGCTCACGATCATGAAGCCTCCGGTGTGGCGCATGTCCAAAGCTGCGAGAGGATGTCAATTGCGCCGGTAGAGGAAGGGTCGCACGAGACGCGTCCACTGGGAAAGGCGTGTGAGGGTCCAGGTTTGGCGTCAAAGGAGAGTCTTGAGAGAACACGTTGATATGCTTGACAATGCCAATCTTGAAGTTTCCAAACTAACGTCCACCGTACATAAACTGGACTTCCTTCATCTTCGCCAGGGGTTGCATCCTGAACGATCCAGTGCTTGCTCCAGGTCCGATATGTGTTGCCATCCAGGGTTGGTTCCTGGTTCCATCAAGGATGACAGGTTCATCAGGAACAAAGATCTTGACCCAATCCTCCCCCACGAAGCGACTGAGCTCAACCCAAGGTCACGGGCCGTGGAGGCTCATCATCAGGATGATCAAAGTCCATGGTGTCGTCTGGTGAAACACTACGCACCGAAAACAGCTGAACATGAGCATCGAAGCATGGAGTTCAAGACAAGCACATGCAAAGCAACGAACTCGAGGCACAACCAATTTTCAAGAGCCGGTAGAGAACTCACACATCCGGTAGGCCGCGTAGGTGCGCTCGGGGTGGTGGTCCGACGAAATGGCGCATAGCGCGGAGATGAAGTATTGTCAATACCAGACAGCTCTGCGTTATAAGGTTCAGGGCGGCTGCTAGGGCGAGATGTCCCAGCGTCAATGTTGGAAGGTGCTGTTGAGCGAAGACGCTCGAGGCCAGTGATGACGTCATCCCAGGTCACTTCAGCGGAGGGATTAGCGTCGCCGCAGCTTCATGCGAGATGTTGCCCAGAGTGGCAACGTCAGCCGAAGGAGAGGACCAAGCCGTGTGTCCTGGATGTTGATGTTGTGTTTGCGGAGGAACAATCTGGCGGTACCCTTCAGTGGTCCAATCTCGTCGATGCCACACTGGCTGCCGTTCACTGTGGCCATCATCAGGCGGTTCACGCTTCCAGTCGCGACGCGCGTGAGGCAGGATGGGATCACTAACCGTCCCAATCACCCAGGGCCCAGGCTCCCAAATCTTAATCCATTGATGTTCTGGTTGTAGAGGATCTGGACACCACTCCACCCACGCCATGCCGAAGACTACACTCCAAGCAGTTTCGCTCACACTGTGTGGTGACGCGGGAAATGAGGCAACTGACGCATGAGGACACATGGAATGCATGAGCAACCGACGACCGCAACAAGCAGATGAAATGAGTCCATGCAACCTGCACATCAGAACTGCAATGCGCCATACCTTTTCTCCCGTTACAACCATCATTCAGTCAACACTCACGCCTTCCAATCATACTCTGATTCAGATAATGTTCGACGAGGTGGCAAGGGGTCTCTCCAGGCACCATCCGAGGCCGACGAAGAATCGGAAGATTGGTCCCGATGGTGGGGTGGTTGAGGCCGACGTGATGTGGGAGGTAGTAGTCGTTGCCACCCACATGTGTTCCAGTCGCGAAAATGCCAGCAGTAGTGCGTAGGCAAAGATGTCGTGCGAAGCTGTTCATCGGGAGAAGTGCCTCCAGCGCCATCCAGAATGTAGTATGTTTCAAAGATGTAAAACTTCTTCCATTCTCAAAACGTAAATGGAAGGGCGTCAGGTGGTGTGGCCATTGTGGAACTCAGCAATCTCTAAAGATTCTTCTCCATTCTTGAACAGCATCACCCGGTCCGGCCACAATTTCATACTCAAAGTACCGCAGAACCGACCACATGTCAATCTGTCTCTACAGAGGGTGCGACATGACACAATCCACAAACTTGGTGCACATTGCAAAACAGCGGAAAGAGGATCCGGCAAGGAATCCACGTCAACATAACGATCGCTTCACGGCCTGTCACCCCCGCCTGCCAAGCAAGCAACATCGCAGTTGCTCACGATGCACAGCACGCCTGAAGACATCATCAAGCACTACTCCTGGACCAGCGATCAGCCGCGAGTCTGGCTCCCACTACTACTACCATGCCGTCGCTGATCAAGTGGGCCAACCACCCCTCCCGTCTCAACGGCAACAAGTGTCTGGATCCCATGGCAGTTCAGCTCCTGCAAGCGCGTCAACGTTTGCGAAAAGGTGATGCTCCCACGTTTGCTTCAGTGGCTTCTTTGTGGGGACTAGAGCCAGGCTACATCACCAAGCTCTCGGACAAAGCGCTGTGCCTGCTCATTGCGGTAGCTCGAAGAGATGCATCATGTGGACTGAGCTTCAACGCAGCGGGATCTTTGATGACGTTGCAAAATGGCACACCCTGACTACTTTTCTGGACACCTTGACGTTTTTGCTCACCCTGGTTCGCATTGCACTTCAGGTTCCGACGACTGCCATGTCACATACCCGACACGCGGTGGCCAATAAATATGAGATCCACAGATGCCGGATCACATCGTATCTCCTGATTTGCTTTTTACAGCGACTCATTTCGCAGGACCATGGGTACATACCTCCCTTCTTTGAAGTCCTTCACTTCTACAAGACGTCATTGCTGTGTGAAGTCATGCACTCCACTTTCGCTGATATGAGGCACCTCAAATCGCTACGTTCTCGCCTTCCAGACCTGTATGACTTCATTCAAGATCCGGGACATCATCAGCAGCCCGTCTACATCAGGCTTTCGCCATGGCATAGCCCATACTACACTGGAGCTACAGATCAGGATGTTCTAGCCGCCGATAATTGTTCACGCATGGTTTGAAACGACGCACCAGTATTGGATCCGAGCCGATACAAAGTGGAATAGTGCTTGGATGTCGTCCAACATCTCAGGCCGCAGTTGACGATGTAGATCCGGATGTAGTCGTCGCCGAAACCGCTTGTGAAGGGATAATGACGTAGGCGATGATAACGAATGACGTCGGAAGTCAACCAGATGTTCACGGAAGCCAATTTTCCGAAGAAGTCTGTGTATCCAGGGTGCGTTTAAATGCGGGCGCAACATGTACTGCCATTTGCTTTCTTGGACCCACACCGAGGAGGTGGGAAGCTTGATCTCGATCGGAACCGCGCAGAACAGCCAGTAATTGTTGGATCTCTTCTAATAATGATGAAGTGTTGGTTCAAAGAAAGCATGTTGTCCCCGCAGGAGTTGTAGATATTTGCAGCAGCGGGAATGTTCCCTGCGTTTCCCTTCCACTCAACTTTACTATTTCCTGCGGCTCTCCTCCTTTGTCAACGAACCTTGTCGCTCCAAGGCTCAGAAGCTTCTTACCCAGGTCTTGCACAAGCGACAACTCCAGGTCCCAACCACGATGACACAATTACTACTTCCACCTCTACATGTTTGAGACTGGAAAGCCAAACTCGGAACCTGGTTGCAACGGTGGGTGGCATCTCATCGTGGTCTTTCCCTTCCTTATTCCTTCCTAAGATCCGGGTCGTGGAAACTCGCAGTGCCACCTTAAAAGACCGGATCTACAACTACCGCAAATGGCAACGAAGATGGACTCCGGATACTTCTTTCCCGCGCCGCTGCATTGACGTGGACGACCGTACCACTTTTCGTGCACATTCTCATGCTGTGATCTTGGATGAGTTTCGACGCATCAACGCTGACATTGACTCCGACATCATGACTGCATCCATGAAGGATCAATATTTTGGTGATGTAGACAAACTTCAGCAACGTTTTAACTTAGCTAAATTCGAGAGTCATGAAAGAGCCTTCCATGACAGGGGGCTACCGTATGTGTACGGTGGGGTGCGCGTACAGCGCGCGATGCGTGCGTACAGTTGGCGCGCGGCGCGCGTACGGTGCGCGTACGGTGCGCGTACGGTGCGCGTACGGTGCGCGTACGGTGCGCGTACGGTGCGCGTACGGTGCGCGCAGTGTGCGCGCGCGGTGCGCACACGGCGCGCGCGATGCCGCATCCGGTGTGGCGGGCGCGCAGTGTGGTCCACTTCGGTCTAGCACACTCAGACTTCGCGGCGAAAGTGTGTGTGCCGAGATGTTTTGTTTTTTCCACACCTGATTTGTTTGTGCGCGCAGTGTGTGCGCGGTGCACGTGCGACGCGCGTGCGGTGCGCGCGCGGTGCGCACACGGCGCGCGCGATGCCGCATCCGGTGCGGCGGGCGCGCAGTGTGGTCCACTTCGGTCTAGCACACTCAGACTTCGCGGCGAAAGTGTGTGTGCCGAGATGTTTTGTTTTTTCCACACCTGATGTGTTTGTCCAAATATGATGTTTTTTTCGAAGTCGGTTGTGCGTTTTCACGCGCAGCTGCGCACGCAACCACTTGCGTATGAAGTAAAAAATCGCACGTGTTACATGAGTGTATGAACTATAATTTGATAAAATGATCGCGATTGATTGACATATATCATG